TATACTTTAGTTGAAGGAGTTCCATGTCTCAAGACGAAGGGGTCGCAGTATGCAGTCCGCTACTTCTGCAGTTGCTTGTACTAATCATAGACGGATCAACGACACCGGACCAATTATTGGAAAACGCACACATGCCCGGAAAGCTGTGGTTAAGGTATTGCTCCAGCGGCTGGGATTTGAGATCTCCGCCTTCAGATGTCAATGTCTCCAGACAGCGGTTCCTGGGCCTTGTGGTAGGTGTTCATGGTGATTTGAAGGGGTTCCCAGGGGCTATGCGCTATGTAAAAATGCGAATGGATGGAAGGGGGTCCGGGTCGGGGAAGGGTCGGAGAAGGAGGAGGAGGAAAGGAGAAGCAAGGAACCTACACCCGAAACTTTAGATAGCAACAACACAAGCAAACCTTGCCCTAAGGGCCCAAGGACCCAAATAGTAGGGTTTTAGGGCCCAAATACTATAATATTAAAGGTATTTGGGCCCTAAAACCCTATTATGTGGGTCCTTGGACCCTTAGGGTTGATTAAAGCGCACAGCCGTGCATGTTCAACGCAGTGGCTCCCAACTCAGGGAGATGAAGCGCTGGGGCTCCATGTGAACTATAGTCTAAACTCCTTAAAGGGGGGCTATGTAGGGGATTATATAGGGCACCATTATAGGGATTACTAAGGGGAATCCTAGGAGTTGAGACAATGGCTCATGCTTTTTTGTTGGATCTTGGGCTTATCAAAGCCCAGTCTGTCTACGAACGCCTGCACTGGGCCCTAAAGTTCAGAAATAATGCCTCTCTTGGGCTTTTGGAGCCTTGTTAGTTGCCCAAATGCAGTATAAACCTTAAAAGGGACATACCCTAAACCCCAAATCCCTAAATCCCTAAACCCTAATTTCTGGAAGCCCCGTTCTTTCCGGAACGGGAAGGCTTTTTGGCGATCATCCTTTGCGAGCACGATGGGGACAGAAGGCTTTTCCGCGCTACGCGGCCCCTGTGTATGTGGGAGTTTCTCATGGGTTTAGGGTGTAGGGTTTAGGGTTTAGGGTTTAGTGTCATTGTATGTGAGCAATAATCTAAACTCCTTAAAGGGGGCTATATAGGGGATTCTATAGGGGACTAGTCTAGGGGTTATTAAGGGGGATACTAGGAGTTTAGACAGTAGCTCATGTGGGAGTTTCTCATGAATGTGGGGGAGCGGCAAAGACCCGACTACCAATGCATAATTGTGTCATTGTTGGAAGTATTTATCACTGTGAGTACATTGTACCAAAGCCCAATACGGAATCCTAAATTATGATTCGAGATACTATCCCGCCAATGACCCTGTGAACAGTGAACAGTAAGCTGTAAGGTCTTTCGTGGAAGTGTTGTTGACAGAAGATGACAGAAGTAGCTGTACCGGCTGTACTAAAACCCACTACACTAAGGAAAGCGTAGTGAATTCGGATCTTAACAGACAGCGTGGAAGAAGTGACAAAATGATGGCCTCCCTAAACCCCCAAACCCTAAATCTTAAATCCCTATGTAACCCTTATATTCTAGCCCGAATATATAATAACCCACTTAAACCTTGTGAATTGTGCACTGGTCATCTTGAAAAACTCCTACGTGGTGTCCCCGCAAAGCCGTGGATATGTGGCCAATACAGTTTGCATCGTCGTAGGTAAGAGCTTTACCTTGAAACCCATGCGGTTTATGGTGATCCACAAGCCCAAACCCCTTAATCCATCATATCCTAAGCCCGGAGGTTTGCCTCAGGTTTACCCCGAAATATGTAACCGTTGAATTCAACAAATCCCACATTTTACTGATCCGTTCATTCTAGCAATTCCTAAGCTCTGTATGGTTTGACCTTTGATTTCTTTGATTCTCCAGTCTCACCCCTCGGCCAAAAAGGCCGCAGAGGCTAGAGAGCACCATGGACTATGGGAGAACCATGCGTGCTCAAAAAGTTCTGCGCTCCAAACTCCTAAACCCAAAGCCCTAGGCCCTAAACCCTCATGCTGCAGGGCGTCGTAGGCCAGCAACGGTCTTCGATAAAGAACACATGTAGGGTTTAGGAATGACGGCTTCGGGCTCCTAGGGACTATATTGGGGTTAAGGGGTTCAAGGTTTAGGGTTAAGGGTATCGTATAAACAGCATGCCAAGTTTTCGTGATTTGCAGGTAACTGTTTGAGGCAAGGGCTGTAGTTTTTTGGTTTGAAGCAGGGGTCCCGTCATAGCCCACAGAACAGGTGAGTAGTGTTTTATAAGGGGTTATTAGGGGTACCCAATATAGAGTAAGAGTATATTTTTGGGGGTGGTGTTTAATTTTAGATGAGGAAAATAATCTTGCTAGGTTCAACCACCAAAAGCGCTACTCAAGCGGCCTGGCTGATTCTTTCAAATTATCGGGGATGTTATACTAGGCAACTACTTGTCACACTGTTGGCTCAGCTGCCCCTGTTACAATGACATTGTGTTGTTGGGAGTCCGCAAGCTAACAAACCTTGAACCAGATTCCTCCAAACATCGGATTTCCCGACAACCTTTTACTGTTATGAAGACATCTGTCACGGCCAGGAGTTTTCAAGCTCACCTTGCGAACGTGGCATCTACTGGGATAGTCGCAGTATTCTCTCAACCAATCGTGAAACAAAAATCCAGTACAGAACAGTCCGCACGAGGCAGTCCCATAAGCTTCATGCAATTCCCATGTATCTATAAAGATCCCAAAATATGCACAAGGTTTGCCAGTTTATACGTGTGTCTACAACTGTGTGTATATATGAAAAGATCCAAATTGTCCTAACTTAAAGATAAGTTCCTCAACGGCAGCCTGCCTCCCCAAGCCCAAAACCATTCCAAACCAAAACTTCGGAAGGACCTCTAGCCCAAATATCCTCTTAATCCCTACACGAGCTATAGGAGGTTATATAGGGAATTCTATAGGGGACTACTATAGGAGTTATTAAGGGGTATACTAGGAGTTTAGACTATAGCTCACATGGCCCCTTCACCATAAACTCCCCAAAAGGCATCCGCCACCTCTTTTGTACGGAACCTAGGGTTTAGGGTTTAGGGTTGGTTTAGGGTTTAGGGTTTAGCTATTCACTCTGGCCCTATACCCCAAACCCTCAGCCCTAATCCTGAGAGAGCCCAGTACATTCCAATCAAAGGGATACCCCCTACGTGATACCAGGATCCTAACACTAAACCCTAAACCATATGTAAATAGTTGTTTCCATTTTATTTTTCATTCTCCCAAGATAACCCCAATATAGCCCTGTAATCCCTGCTTGAACCAGATATAGACCCTATAATCCATTATCCCAATATAATCCCAATATAGCCCTAAACCCTAAACCCTCAAGCCAATATAACCTCATGTTACCTCAAATGAATTGATTTCAGGAATAGTGCTTGAACAAGGTTCAGCGTTGAACCCGTATTGTTGAGAGAGTTTTCCCACAGCGTGTGAGATTCGCGGCTTCATGTGTAGGCCTGGAGGTTTTTGTCTAGGATCTAGGGATTGGGGCCCATAGCGCCCAGGGATTGAGGTGCAAGACTCAAAGACTTTAAGTTTGTACAATGAATGTTTGTAACCCTAGGTTTTGGGTCTCAAATACCCTTATTAAGGGCCATATTCCATGGGTTTTGGACCCAAATTCAAGGGTACAAACCCTAAGGATACAAAGGAAAACTCCCTGAATGACTCTGGGATGGATATGTGTGGGCCTTAGGTCAGGGTTGAGGGTTAAAGTTAGGGTTCAGAGTGCCGAATTACATATTTCCCTAAATAAGCTTGGAGCGCTGTGTGGTTTTTGTTTGCAAGATTCTGATGTGGCCTTGGAAGGCCGTTTGTGAGGCTGCATGACATGTCCCTAGGCCCTAAGCCCACGCAATATACATCCCCATACATCCCTGCATACCTTGCATATAATTCCTATGCTGCACTTTTTTCCATTTCCATGTTACTGTGGGATAGGCTAGGAAATCCTGAGCCCTAAGCCTTACACCGCGTGGCAATTCTCGCCGCTGTTGGTTCATGAGTCATGGCAGATTTGCTAGGTACCCAGTATTAACCGGTTTCCCGTTGTATTTGTGGGGTCTCTTTACTTAATTTGAACATGAGGAAATAGGGCACCATCATTATTAAGGGGTTACTGGGAAACCTAGTTTGTAAAACTCATGATTAGACAGGTGGGCGGGTTGTTTCTCAAGAGTTGGCTCTGAGATTCCACCAAATAGGACTGATTTGAGCTCCTTGGGGTGCTTAGGATTTAAGGTTTGGGTATACTGCGTGTTGAGGAATTCAGTTGAGAAGGCCTTTAAACCATGAACTGTAGTCTAAACTCCTCAAGGGGGAGGTTATACAGGGGATTTATGGGGGTCTGTGATAGGGGCTACTAAGGGGGATACGAGGAGTTCAGACCATGGCTCGTATGATGCTACAATCCAGTACGAAGTATAACTCTATGATTTTTGACAGCATCCCAGGAAGTATTTGTTGTACATTCTCCTTCTGGATTCCATGGCCCATGACCCCAAACCCTAAACCCTGAAGCCTAACCAGCAGGGGACCTAGAAAGTAGGTCAAACAGGGTCATATGTGCCCCAATTGGGTTTGGCCTGCTTATGTACAACCCATTTTGTAACTTATCTACCAAGTTCCCTGAGCCTCGACATAAACCCTAAAACGAAACGAAGACTGAACCCTGAAAGCCTGGACCGTAAACCTGGGGGCATTTTTGAGCTGGTGTTAGATTCACTTTGTAGGTATTGGGTGTCTGTTTAGTAAAGCACTAAACCCTAATAGAAGATAACAACAATACAGGTGCTGACTTCAAGCCTTGGAAAAGTGGCCTTACATAAAACCTTATGCACGCTTTGTATAACCAACCTCCCACGCTCCTAATATTCCCCGTTTATACCCCTTATAGAAACTCTCTCGCTAGCAACTCCCCTCATGTAATTAGTCCAAAAATCCTAAACCCAAGCCAGACCCAAAACCGCATAAATCGCGTGACCAGGCTGCAAGTGGCTCGAGGCTTTGACGTTACAGCGAGCAGCCAGCAGCAGCGCGCTCAGAATGACTGGGCAAAGGATTTGCTTGTTTCCAAGGACACGGTTCATGGTTTAGAGCGTAAGGGTCCTTACCATTGGGATGATCCTATACTGGGTGTGTATCAAGGGCGCCGCCTAGTTTTAGGAACTACCACCTGCGTGTATCAACAAAGGTAGTCCTCTTGATGTACAGCCAAACGCTACAATCCCCACTACAGGCACGCCAAAAAGAGACACACTGCCATTGTGCGTCTTTTTGGTGGTGGTTGTATGTGTTTTTGATGTTTAGGTTTTAGCATCAGGGATTTCGGAAATTGTTTTTAGGGATTTAGAAGTCAGAGCTTCCAGAAAGTCAGCTTGGCAATAGCAATGGTTGTAGTATCGCTAGAAGGAAAGGAGAAGCAGAAGTAGGAGGTGTGATAGTTCTGGGTAGGCCCCTGAAATATTGGGTATTTTCCCTACTGGCTTTACTAAGGGGCCCTATATACTAATATTTTTCGAAGGGCTTTAGGGGCCAACCCAGTAGTTGGGGATTTGGAACCCAGAGTTTCCAGTAGGCGTGTTAGTATTCAACCTGAGCCTTTTGCTACTCGGCTTCACGCAGAGGGTTCATAGGACCAGCAGAACCCCCAACCCTAAACTGGGTTGCTGCTAAGGAACTTAAATTAAGTTACCATAATGGGTATATATAGTAAATAATAGGGTTTCCCCAATATAGTAACTTATTTTAAGTTCCTGAACAGCAACCCAGGAAACCCTAGACCCTCAACCTTAACTGCTAGCTCGTGTCCTCTTATCGGTTGTTCTTAGTACAGGCTAGTTCTGCATATTGTTCGTGCTAGCGCTGCTCGTCTATCTTTTTTTCGCTAGTAGCAATGGGAAACGGCGCGGCCACTATCAGAAGCAATTTGTCCTCAAACGGAGGTTTCCCAAAATTGTGTCTTTTTAAGGGTTCCTATAATAAGGACCTATAGTATTTTGTGTCCTGAAAAACCTCTGCTGCGGGAATACTATCAGGGAGACCGGATCATAAGCATCAAAAAAATTCGGACAGGCGCCGATGGCTACTACTGTTGATACTAAAAATCTCGCATGACCTTCATATACTATAGTACCATAGTTTTCAAGGTTTAGGTACCTAGGGTCATGCAGGAATTTCAGTATCCACCGTAGTTGCTCTTGTGGCGAAGACTTCCTGTATCTTAGGGCTCGAGCTGCCACGATATGATAGGGTCTAGGGTTTAAGGTTTAGAGCTTAGGGTTTAGGATATATAGATGTTTCCATGTTCTTTTCCGTTATTCCTATATAACCCCAATATATACCCTATAACCCCTATATATCCCTTATATAACCCCTATATAACCCCTATATAGCCCCTACATAAGCCTTGTAGAAGCCCATGGCAGACGGGAGCTGTAAGGTGGGGAGTCCTTCTGTTTGCCACATCTGAAAGCTATGCAGGCCTGCGGAGTCGTACAGGGGGGTTATGGGGGTTTAGGGTTTTTAGGGTTTAGGGTTTAGAGTTGAGGGTTTAGGGTTTAGGGTGGGTTTAGGGCCTGAACTATCGAATCTACATGAGCTATATTCTAAACTTTCTAGAGGGGTTATATACGGGAACATACGGGGGACTACTATAGGAGTTATTGAGGGGGATATTAGGAGTTCAGACTATAGCTCATACAAATGACCCTCCTGTACACATGGCTGAGGCGTAGCTGGTCACTCACCGCGGGCGGAGGCTTGTCCCGTCCTTGGGGTATTACCCTGTTGCAGCTAGGCCCTTCACTCCCCACAAATACGGTAGTTTCCATAAACAGGGGGAACCCAAGATAGACCCCGATCTAGTAGAATCCTTCTTTGTGAAAATCCCTAAACCCTAAACCCTAAACCCCAAAAAGGTATCCCCAATTTTGGGAAGCCCCTCAAATGACAGGGAGGGGACTCCCGAGAAGACGAGTTCCCTTTTTCAGGATACTATAGGGGCTGTAGGATTTAGGGGAATTACCAACATGATGGTTCTGGCTGCTTTTTTAAAACTATGGTATACAGTACCTCAAATAGAGATCAGAACGATATTGGGAATTACTTAGGCGCCTCTAGTACCCATTCCGATATGTGTTAGAATTACGTGCTGCAACTACTTTGGAGCATCGTTAGTAGAAATCTTCCTGTTATCGAGCAAAAGGCATCTCAGTGCTACCATTACAGATGCGTTAGAATAATTGCTATCATTAGCAATCGGCTTTCGAGTACCGCTGTCGTCGTAAACCCTATAGCCTATAGCCCTAAACGTGCCGAAACCCTACGAGGCTGAAACTGCTCTAGTAGTAATTTCTCTTAGAACTTCCCCTAAACCCTAAACCCTAAACTCTGAACCCTAAACCTTAAAAGACTAGATGCGGTGTCGGGATTCTAGGGTTGACGTGCAGGCCTCAGTTTGGGGAACAGTTGTCTATCCTTTCTTGGGATTTGGGACGGCATTCCTAAGCCCTAAACCCCTAAACCCTGAAACTTGTAAGTGTGCCTAGACCCTCCTTCGACCCTCTATATACCCTAAGCAGGGACCCTATACCCATATTTGAAGGGTACAAGGAGGGTCCTGGTAGGCGTTCCATCTTTTGGTCTTGGACTTTGGCCCTAAACTGAGAAGTATTTTATTTGGGGATACTATGGTACCCAATATAGAGTAAGATTATATCCTCCTTTTGGGGTATAGTATTTTATATAAGGAATATAATCTTACAAGGTTTAACCACCAAA